CCCTGACATTTTAATTCATTTTGAGTTCACGTGTATTGGGCGTGTTTGTCGGCGGGAAAGTGTTAACATGTTTCTTTTTAAGTGTTTTTATTTTGTTCACATTTAGATTGATGGAAAATACTGTCTCAGATTTATTTATTTCCATGTATAACTTTCTCAATTCAAAATAAGGACTGAACATTTTCTGATAGCCACCAAGATTCACTTCTCTCTGCAATGTTTTTACTGGTAAAAGTAGATTGAAATGATTGTTATGACTGATAACAGTACTTGTATGAGGACGTCAATGAAAAATTGTAATGAAAATTTCAAGTAAATTTGCCATCCTTGGATAATAATGTAAGTTGTTTGCTACTTATTCATTATACTGTATTTATTTCAGAGGTCTTTACGAGTTGCGTCCTAAGGCTCTGATTGGCCGAGTTAACATTCCTGGTCCAATCATAATAATCAAAGTTGAACCAGACCCTGGCAAACCAGTCAGTATACTGGTGAAGTATGACAAGACTGCTACATTTTCAGCAGGAGGAACTCTACCAGGTATGTATATGACAACTTGTTTAATATTTTCACCTTGTTTAATATTTTCACCTTGTTTAATATTTTCACCTTGCTTAATATTTTCACCTTGCTTAATATTTTCACCTTGTTTAATATTTTCACCTTGCTTAATATTTTCACCTTGCTTAATATTTTCACCTTGCTTAATATTTTCACCTTGTTTAATATTTTCACCTTGCTTAATATTTTCACCTTGCTTAATATTTTCACCTTGCTTAATATTTTCACCTTGTTTAATATTTTCACCTTGCTTAATATTATCACCTTGCTTAATATTTTCACCTTGTTTAATATTTTCACCTTGTTTAATATTTTCACCTTGTTTAATATTTTCACCTTGCTTAATATTTTTCACCTTGCTTAATATTTTCACCTTGTTTAATATTTTCACCTTGCTTAATATTTTCACCTTGTTTAATATTTTCACCTTGTTTAATATTTTTACCTTGCTTAATATTTTCACCTTGTTTAATATTTTCACCTTGTTTAATATTTTTACCTTGCCTGTATTTAAGATTTAATGATTAATTATGGCATTTATTGTCGCCCTACCGATTAAAAATCTTGCATTTCCATATTAATATTAATACTTTTGTTGTTAATTATATTTTCAGCTCGTTCTTGAAAACTGCTTGCCCAATTATTTCAATGCAAGTTTTGATATTACTTTCTTATTATGCACTTAAGTGTGAATGATTATCATTGATTTTATTAGCACACTCGTAGTTTTGTGACAAATTATCTATCAATACCATGAGAACCCTAAATCCTGCATCTCTTACTCTCAATATTTGAAACCAGTCTGGGGTCCCCACTCCACTATGGTAGAAACATAGAATGAATTTTCAATGTGCCTAATCTTGTATATCAGAAATCTCTTCTCAATAAGGCTAGCACAATCCACATAGAACTGGTAGTCTGTGTGTGTAACTTTTGAGTGCTGATTATTGAAAGATCAAAACCATTTTTTAGATTTTGTTGTGACTGTCACTGCGGAGGACGGGAACACTATGACAACGACACAGTCTAGACATATTCGTATGAAGATGTGGCAACCAGATGGATCGTCAGGAATATTGTCAAAACCACCCGAGAAATGTCTTACCGTGCCACCAGATGCAAAAAAATCAACTGATCAACAAGGGCATTTTTATTTCAGGTGAGAATAATCTTCCTCAGTGTTCAATGTGGGTTCTATGTTAAATATACAACACATGTAAATACATTGTTTGTAAACTGTGAAGCTTGTCATGGTTTTTGTTAAAATTATAACCTTTCAACTTTCAAAGGTGTTTTAGATCCTGCTTTAATTTTTAATAATGTTTCAAATGATTTAATCAATCATATTTTTCAGAGAAAAGAAAATTCCAGTTCGATCCGGTACTCACAATGTCGTTTTCCATTATTCTGACAATAAAGGAACATTTTTGTGCACCAATACTGTAAGTACAAGCCGGCAGGCTGGTTGGCGATTCGCTCCGCTCAAAAAACAGCTGTTACCATGGTAGGACATGAACTTGAAGCTAAGTTTTATGACTAAAACCGGGCCCTGTATACGAAGTTCAAAAAAAACATTCAGTCTTCAGAAGTCACTTCACTTTATTACTAGCACATATTCTGCTGTTATAATTATTTCCAAAATTATTATTTTACGATTGTTTTTTCCATAGTGTAACAATATGGGCACCAGTGAATACTGGTAGGAGGTAATACATTTGGGGTGACAGTATTCAAAAATCAGCTTTTTTTTTTTTGCTGTTGCCATGGCAGCAGTGGGTCAGGAATTTGTTCCCAATTAGCGAAAGTCTGACTTGCCTGCCAAGTTTGAACAAAATCGGCCAAGCCAAAAAAATCACAGAAGAGCTAAAAAGTCGTTCCTGGTGAACAATTTCTCGGTAATGAAAAAAAAATGTCGACTAATTTTGTGCCCACACTCAAGCTGAGTAGATAGCTATGTTTGAGTATTTTAGTCCTAGAATTGGCTGTTGCTATGGCAATGGTGGGCCAGAATTGTTTTCAGATTTTACATACTAACTAGGATAATGGTGTGACCTGCCTGTCAAGTTTGAACGAAATCGGCCAAGTCAAAAAAATCACTGGAGAATTAATACGTAAAGACACTGGAAATTATGCACACACGGTGATTTTAATGGCAATCGTAGCGGAGCGGATCAGCAATATACATGTACCATATATATATGTCTTTACATTGGGTGGATATCTATTAGATTTGAAAAGTTCATTATGATATCTTTAATTCTAGCTAATATTATTGTTGACTTCTTGGAGACCTCTGCTTGAATTGCTCTAATACTTGTTATACATGTACCGAGAGTGGACCTCATTTATTTACCCACTTACCCGCTTATTTACTCATCCACCTACTGAATCTCTCAAATACTTTTCCAATCATTTCCTCACCCATCATGAGGCTACCTTTCTCACCTGGCTATTCACACAATTTGGTTTTCTGTTTCTCTGTATATTTTCTTTGCATCTCTAGGTTGTTTTATTGGTTACTCCATCTTCTCCAAATAAATTGGTACCAGTTGGAATACCAGGTACACCCACAGTATCAAACACACAAAAGTCTTCAAGTCGAGTATTGATAAGATCACTGAAATTGCAACTGAAGGTAAGTACTAAGATGGAAACCTAAAATCTTATATAAAGTTTTTCATTGATTGGACATTTCAACACTGTGATTTCAGTTTAGTCACCAACATGTTTGGCTTGGATGTCAAATGCTTCAATTATTTACACATACAATGCTGCGCTCCCATCTGTACTTCACCTTTCCACTGATGATTTTTTTCTTACTTGGGCAGAACACTATTACTTGTCCAACACCTTTCTACAAACTGTTTTCTATTCTAATTTGTTTTACACTGCTTCTGACTTGAAGACACATTTTGTTTCTGAATAATCACTAATTGCTTAGCAACTTTGAAATGTCTGAATTTGGAAACAGGTGCTGCCATTGGTCAGAATATCGAATGAAACAGGTGCTGCCATTGGTCAGAATATTGAATGAAGCATGTTGAATGGTGATTTGTTAGGGATACATACATGTACATCTCAATCATCGATGCAACATTCTTTTATGAGTTTGCTACATGATCAATTTCAACAGTACTGTCATAACTCTACCCTCTGTCCTCTTCATAACTCCACTCTGAATCATTTCCATCTGCTTGTTCTGCCTGTCATACTTGCAATAATAATTTTAATTTATCTTAAATTTTATGTGTCTGTTATGAGTTCCTCAGTGCCCATAGCTGAGATACCTACCGATTGTCTTTGTCTTGTAATTGTATTTGTAGTACACTGACCACACACTATGTATGCGATAACACAGTGACCAATGCTAGTAGTAACCTTAACAACTCAATTAGTGACTGGAGGATATCTTGTGTTTCAGGATCAGTATGGTAACGATGCAGGTGATGGCATAACTGGGAAAGTATCAGTCACTATAATTCCAACAACATGTGATGAAATACCTAAACTGGTAGGAAATGTCTCTTCCATTGAAGTTGTGTTAAACAATGGAGTAGCCCAGCTGTCAGTAAGTATTACCTGCAGAATGTATGTTTTATTTGGATTCTGAAAAGTTCCATGTTGTTATTTAAGTGGAAGTTTGTCATTTATTTTCCCATGGAAATCTCACTATGTATGTTTTATTCTTCATGGACCTGACTCGTTTTTGTGGCCCGAGGTCATACGTGTCTGAGCTTGCGAGGATGCATTAGCTGTATAACAGAGGCCATAAAGTTTTTATCCTATACTTTGTAGATTCCATTTCAAAACTGTTTTGAGCTACTGGTGTTTGGTAAAATCTAATTTTTTCTAATTCAAATAAAGTCTTCAACTCTGCCCTGGCTCAAAAATATTTAAATTTAATTGTCGTTTGTGGTTCAACTCTGTATATAATTTAGTGCCACAGTTTTGATGTACACTCATTGAATATTATCTAAAACAGTGTATTTTACATGTATTGTATACTTTATATGGAACTAATGACGAGTCTGTCGCTTTAAGTTTAATCATTAATTGTTAATCATGTTAAAAATATATTTCATAAAATTTGTAATCATATTAGATATCTATGATTTAAGATTAAATGCATCTCAATTCCAAGAACTAGTGTAAAAAAATCATTATTTATGTTGAATGTTTTTTGTGAAACAGCTGTGGTGTTTACTAACAAGTACAGTTTTGTTTCGGAAAATTATCACTTGGATTGGAGAACAATGTAAATGCAAAAGAATTCTGGGTTTTGTTGGGGGAAGCAGCAGTTTAAGATCTAAGACAACGTGATTTTTTTTTTTTTTTTTTTTTAGAATTTGATGATTCAGGAGAACTCACCTGGTAAAGATGGTCAGGAATATATACTACGATGTCAGGTCATAGGTCAAGGACTAGAAGATATTGAACCTTACGATCAATCTTTCTTTTTTTACAATGGTGTGTATTTTTTTAAAACTTTCGTTTTTATTAATGCTGACTCACTTTATGTGAGGAAATACTTTGTTGTCACTTTTAGTTAGTTGAAATATACAAGATTTTGTTTGCTGTTTAAATGCAGAATCTGAAATTTAGACCACAGAAAATGTTACTTCACAACATATTTTATGGGAATATATTATAATGTTTATAAACACTATGTGCAGGATTTTTGTGGATATATTTAGCAAGTTATCTGCTATGTGTGGTGATTTTTTTCTCGCCAAATATGTAAATTTCTCTTCAGTATTGTTTTATAACTGAACCAAATGCCCTAATAAGTTCATATTACGTTGATTTGAAATGCAATTTTCATTTCACAAATTAAATTATTGCATCACAATCCTATAATCCATGTAATTCAATTCTGACTCTGAGGGCGCTGTACAATCATTGCAAAATGTCAGCAATAACTATGATTCTTTCTTATCTCAAAGATGCCAAGAAGCAGACACAGATGTCTCAACTCACCAAACAGCGAGATGAGTTGTTCCAGACGATAAGGACCTACAATGGGTTCTTTGAGACCACTCAGCAGCTGATAAAAGAAATGAAAAGTAAGTCACACTTTTACTGTAAAAGCTTTTATGTTCTGTAGAATTTTATTTCATTGTTTGATCTTATTATTTTAATTTTAAGTGCATTAATTTTTCAATGTAATAATTCAGCATTGTTTTATTTCTTCAGTCTCTGTACATGAAGCACAGACTGGAGAACAGCATTTAAGAAGTGAACTAAGGAGGCAAAACATTCCTGCCACTCAGCTCAATTCAGTAAGTAACTTGTCTTGTAAATAATGTTACCTTATTTAGGGGGCTGATTTGTTATGTAATTGTGGTTATCAAAACTCAACATTGTGGTTATCAAAACTCAACATTGTGGTTATCAAAACTCAACATTCTGGTTATCAAATCTCAACATTCTGGTTATCAAATCTCAACATTGTGGTTATCAAATCTCAACCGCCATGCTTGGCGACCCGGCCGCCACACTTGGTCTCGGACCGCCATGCTTACAACTTCACCGCCATGCTAAGAGGATGCATTGTTTACATCCTTTTGACCCGCTCACACGTAGCACTGCATAAATTATCACCGTCTACGCTACGGCGGTTTGAACTTGCCGAGACGAATTAAACAGTCCCATTGTTAAACGCGT